CAGGGAAGGGAAGGCCAGCAGCTCCCGGGCACAGCTCTGTCTTTACTTGGTGACTTGATGGATGGCGTGAGCCAGGTAGCCCACGTTGCCCGACGTGACTCCCGCCATGGAGATTCGGCCGTCCTTGGTCATGTAGATGGAGAACTCCTTGGTCAGCCGCTCCACCTGCAATGGAAGAGCACAGCTGAGGGGCAGCCCACCCACAGCAACGGCCTGCAGAGCCAGCAGCGCAGCGCTGGCAAGCAAACAACGCTGCTCTGCTCCTGGGCAACACGCAGGAAACCCACATGTCCAGCCAGGACAGCCACTTCGCTTGAGCAGACTCTAAAGATCACCACAGAGTGGCTTAAGGTGACTGCTTCTTTCACAAATAAGCTGGCTACATTTGCCTTCAACCCCTGTAAGCGCAGCAGGGAGCAGGACAGGACACAGGTCCCCAACGTGCTCCAGTGCTGCAGGAACTCACAGAGGGTGGGATGGCTCCTATGGGCTCATTTGAGCACCTGCAGTCAAAATCCCTCTGAAGAAGATGACAAAGAGCAGCCTGGGGTGACAGGAACAGCGTTTACCTGCTCAGGCTTCAGCCCCGTGAAGCAGAACATGCCGATCTGGTCGGTGATGTGCTGCCAGTTGTGGGAGGAGCCCTCTTTCTTGAGGTTGGACACGAGCTGAGTTCGCATGCCGATGATCCGGTCAGCCATGCTCTTCACCTCCACCAGCCTGGGGAGCCAAGGCAGGAATCACTGGGAGCACAGCGGGGATGCAGACACTGCGCCCTCTGCTGCTGCCTGGGAAGCAGCCTTGGCCCCTGTGGAGCCAAGCCAAGGGGACAAACCCCCTGCTCCCGCTGGGGAGCTGCTCCTTTCTCCGGGCATCCGAAAGGGGCTGCTGCTGCTTAGCCCACAGCTGGTGGACAGCATTAACAGAGCACCCCTCACTTCCAAAAACCATGGTAGAGCTGGAGGCCTCTTGGCAGCACCGTCCAAAACATGTAGGAGAGGATCTGGGCATAACCGGAGAGGCCGGGGAGGCTCCCAGGGCAGGTAGGACCTTGGGGAGACATCTCTGCCGGGCCTTGCAGGAGGCACGAGCATCAGGAGGCCAGAGGAGCCGCGACAACACAGAGGCGGCCACTGTTCTGCAGGGCCAGCTGCCCGCGGTGCGAAGGGGCCATGGGAGCCCAGGCTCATGCCGGGAGCGGGCTCAGGGCGTGTGGGTTACATTCCTCTGCCTTATTCCCAGGGGCTTAGGCTTCCCACTTCCCCCACGTGGGACGTATTAAGTGGCTATGACGCCTTAGAAAGCCTGCTGCCCTCCGGGGACAGGCAGCTCCTGCAGCTTTGGATCCCAGCGGAGCTTTATCCCCTTGAGCCCTTTCCACCCTGGCAACAGAGAGGAGCCCCTATGCGCCAGGCCAGGCTGATCCCAGCTGATTCCGGGGCACAAGTGCCCAAGCAGGCCCCCGTTCCCGAGGGCAAAGGAGCAGCACGTGCTGCTGCGGGCGCCGCCGCAGCGGTGGGCAGCGGCGCGATGCCTGAGCCGGCCCCGCTCGCCCCTCACCACTCCTTCCGCAGCTCTGGGCTGTTCAGGATGAGGGAGGCGATGCGGGCTCCGTTGAGGGGCGGGTTGGAGTACATGGGGCGGATGAGGATCTTCAGCTGCGACTCCACCCTCTTGGCTTCCTCCGCATCGCTGCAGATCACTGTGAAAGCGCCCACGCGCTCCCCTGAAAAGGAATGGGACCTGTTAAGGCTCCACGACGAGCACAAGGAGCAGTGGGGACCAGGAGCCTGCCAGGCATCTCTGCAAGGACATCGGCTGCTAGCGGGGAGCAGAGGGCCCACCCGGTGTCTCCCTGCTCACCGTACAGCCCCATGTTCTTGGCGTACGACTGTGCCAGCACGATGTTGATGCCCTGCTCGATGAAGTGCCGCACAGCCCAGGCATCCCGGTTGATGTCCCCGCTGGCAAAGCCCTGGTAGGCCATGTCGAAGTACACGAGGAGGTTCCGTTTCTGCCAGAGAAGAGGGAGAGCCCATGGGGACATCCGGCCACCGCTCCGCACCGCGGGAAGCAGGACAGCAGCCTGCTTGGCTGTGAGTGTGCTCCTCCACAAACAGAGGAGCGCCAGCATCAGGAGAGCCCCGGGATCACGGCTTGCTCTTCCAGCCTTGCTGTGCTCCCCCCTCTCCTGGGAAGGTGCCTAGTCCACAGCAGCTGCTGGACAGGGACTACTAGGGCTCCCCATGGTCAGCTGGAAGCTGGACCCAAATGGCCACCATTTCTGGCTCCTGTCTTTGGTGCAGGAATGAGACACCCATAGCCAGTAGCTCAGCAGAGACCAGATGCTGTCCATGAAATCCCAGAGCCACATTTTTCCCAGGAACAGCACAGCACCACTGGGACCCTCCACTGCTCACCTTCACCACAGCAGCTATCTCCTTCCACTGCTCCTGCCGGGGATCCACGCCAGTGGGGTTGTGAGCACAGGCATGCAGGAGGATGATGCTCTTCTCCGGAATTTTCTAAGAAAGATGTGACAGCGAATGAATGATTAATGCTGCCTGGGGTCTCTTCTCAGCCTAGCACATGTGCAGCCACAAAATGGCTTAGAAGGCCCTGCAATGCCAGGACTCTGGAGGAGCAAGGATACAAGATGTCTCTTGCTCTTATATGTCTGACAAGTTCTGCAAAGTCTCCAGCCTTGATACAGCGTCTTCAGACCCCCCCTCACACTCGGGCTAAAGCAAAACGCATGGACACTTCCCCACGCTACCGCCAGCATCCAGGCCCTCAAGGCAACTCACGGAAATGTCATCCATGGCTCCCGAGAAGTCAAGGCTGCAGGTCTTGGGGTCGTAGTAGCGGTAAGCCTGAAGCTGCAGGCCAGCATCACGGAAAATGGGTGTGTGGTTGCCCCAAGATGGTTTGGGCAGGTACACATCATGACTAGACTTGAAGAACCGTTGCTGATCAAGAGAAGGAGAGCACATCCAAGTAAATGAACAGATTCAGGAATCTAGAAAAACTTGAATCCTCAGCTCCTAATGAAAGATTCCTTTCATTCCCCCACTGGCCAGGGACTCACCAGAAAATTGGCTCCAATCCGCAGAGATCCAGTCCCAGAAATACCCTGCACGGTGACATACTGCAAGGGAAGACACAAACACACGAGCCTGAGCTCCCTACATGAGCTTTGGCAGGTGTAGACACTGCCCAGCAACAGCTCCTTTGAACCGCTCCACGGGGCTGGAAGGGGCCGCAAGGGGCCGCATGGATCAGCGAGTCCAATTTGTGACTCCGTCCTCACTGACCCACAGCTGCGTCCTGGAAATGCGGGTTGCCCCTCTCCCGACCTGACAGCTTCCTCCGACACCCCGCAGCAGAGCTGAGCTCTGGGGCCCAGTCCACGCTGGTCACTCCACTATCAGGGCAGGGAGGAGGGACCAAGCGACAGTTTCTGGAGACAGCAATTACTGTTGGGGCTACAGGCAGGGGGACCCACACTAGCCCGTCCACTCCTCCCAGGCACCCACGCACGGCCCGCGGGCACTGCCCGCCCGCAGGTTTCCCACACACTCCTTACCCGGCCGCTCTTGAACGCCTCACTGTTTTCACCCAGCGCCAGCTCTGCTGATGCCCTGGTGAAATCTGCTAGCCCTCCAATGGTCAAATACTCCTTGTCCATCTTCTTAGCTGCTATCTGTGCCTCTGCCTGGAAAGATGGAGATACGGTCAATATGGAAGGCTTCACCAGCACCCAGCTTGTGGTCGCTTCCCATTTGCTGCTCCAAGGCAACAAAGGATCTTGTGGGAGAAGAGTTTCCCTTTGGAAAATCAGCATCTTATCTGCAGACACCTCATTGCCCTAGCCCGAGGGTAAGACTCCCATTGGGAGCCGGAGCCCTTCCTGGTGGTTAGCACAGTGCAGCAGAGCCAGGTAACCAGGTGCTAGGGGAGAGCACCCGGCAGCAGCTAATGCTGCAGCCCAGGGACACGTGTTGCTTTGCTCGAGCTAGAACAGTCCTGCAGGAAGGAGAGACCTGGTTGTTACCTAACAGCAGAGGTGGACTCTAAAGAGAGACATCCCAAAACTAGGCAGGGTAACGAGCTCTTTGCAGGCCCTTGTGACTGACACCAAAATCCCCAGGAACTTCAGCCCTTTCGGAAGGCAGCCGGCCTGAACGCTGCTTCCCCGTCTCCTACACTGGCCTCCCCCCAGCCTTGCTAATCTCAGCCCCAGCCCACCTAAGCACTAACCTGGTTTCAGGGCACGGCTTCTTTCAAGTGGACCTAGCATCAAAAAAACAACCCAAGTCCTTATCTAACACAGGGGGCAGCAAGCACAGTGGACTGCAAGCCACCCTAAAGGAAAATACAGTGACAGAGACACGTTCCAAACGCTCTGGGAACCTTATTCCTGTTCCTGGGACAGACACTGGCAGCACCGATGCCTGCAGGAAGCTCCTGCTGTGCCACCATTCAGGCTCTGTGGTTGTGACCAGGCTGCAGGGCTACTGCTGAGGACTTCTTTAAATCCCAGGCAGACAAGAAACATGTCCCAGGTACCCTCCCTGCGCAAGGAGGGCAGCCAGTTAACAGCTCTTTAACAGCTTATTTCTGTACTTACAGCTCTGGGAGGCTCCAGCAAAGTTACCCCAACCTTCCCCATAATCCTATCAAGGGCAGAATCCACATCCAGCTTCCCGACTGCAGCTTCAGACTGGCTTATGGGCAAACTCGTAACAGAGGCTCAGCGGAATTTCTAATCCAATAAAGGGGCAATGTTGGCTCTTCCTTCCCCTGCGGGCTGGCCCCAGGAACATCGGGCTATTCACAAGAATCACCTCCGAGCCCAGAGCAGAACTGAATTGCAGAGCTCGGGGAAGGCAGCAACAAATTAGATTTACTTAGAGAGGAGCAAGACACCCTTTTCCTATTCTTCCTCCTAGGAGAGATGGCACCACTGTCTCCCTGTGCATTAATTCTGTTAATGGAGACATTTAGCAAACTGTCCCGCTCCTCCAGGGAGGAAGCGTGTTGTAAAGACCAACCTGCCCTGGGGACTGCCCGTGGGACATGGAACCCGGATCCGATCCTGCCCGTGAGCAGCAGGGCTCACCTTGCGAACGCAGTTGAGCACGTAGGGCTTTCCGTTGTCATCCCGGTACGCCCCGACGCCCAGGTTCATCTTCTTGGAGTTGGTGTCGCGCTTGAAGGCCTCCGTCACGCCCAGGATGGGGTCGGGGGGGCCCATCTCCACATGAGACCACCATGAGCTGAAGGGAGAAACCCGGATTAGCCGCAAGAAACTAAGGATGCTGCGTTTGAACACCATGAGCCTGTGCTTTCCTCCTGCTCCGCACAAGCCAGGCCTAAACCTGCAACGAGTCCAAGCAAGCGTGTTCCCTCCTCAACCCAGAATCCAATCTGCAGCAGCTTGGCAAGGTGGAGGGTTTGCAGGATAAATAAGCACATCCTGGCCTGCCCTGCACCTCACGTGTCAGCCGCCTGCTCTCCTGGGCAGCGTCACTGTGACCTGACACAACCACACACACGTTTACTAGCAAGCAGCAGCCTTCGGGTGTGCACCAACTGCTAGAGAGGACACCTCAAGAGGAACCTGGCCTTTTAGGCTGCAAAATGGGCAAAAACCCTTCAGTTCAATGTGGCTGAAAATAAACGGCTTCATCTAAATCACTATTGGATAGAAACGGTCCTGTTTTCCTTTCATGCTGACACTGAAAAGGCTCCAGGAAACCTTAAACTCTCCCGCTCTGATCACCTGCCACCTCTCCAGGTCTGGGTCGCCGCTAGCTCCCTAGGGAAGCTTCTCCAGATCCAGGCTATGGGGTGAAACGTGAAGACCGAGCCTCTTGCAAGCCTCCACCAGGGCTCTGGGCCCTGAAAACCAGTCTGCTTCTTCAGCAACATTGCTTGTCCTCACAAAGACATTTCCTTTCCCTGCCCTACAAACTTTGTCACCGTAGAGAGGGATGTTGCAGTCACACGCTGCAAGGAGAGGTGTGTGGGGGGATTAGGGTGCCGGCGGAGTCGAGGCCCTCTCGGGGGCCGGATGGCTGCGGCAGGCGGCTCCGCTCGGCTCTGTGGCCCTGGCACACTCCTCACACTCATCCCGGCGCGTACCCAGCCCGCGGCGCCAGGTTCACCTCCTCCGGGGGAGGATGGAGGACGTGGCTCCGTAGCCAGGGCTCTGGGATGATAAGGGCTTTTTGTTATCTTGGAATGATAACCTGGGACCGGAGCCAGCCCCAGGCAACGCAAGGGCCTCAAACCAGCCCCAAGCAGCCAGACCCGCCGCTGCACCCACGGCACCAGCAGAACTCGCCTTCCCCACCTCTCAGGCCCAGTTTCGGGTCTGTTCAGACCCAGTTTAGTCACTGCATATAGCCGCTCTTCACGTACGTACATGCAGATTACCCCTCATCTGAGCCCCAGACATCGTTTGTCCTTTTCAGATTTAATTCTCTCCTCACAATTACAGTGTGGCCACAAAAAAGGCAGCGGACGTGTACAGGCAGGCACCCCTTGGGCGGCTTAAAAATGGAAGATGGGTTTAGCATTTTCTAGCCCGCTAACCAGAGTGATAATTAAGACCTGTTAAGTCCTGGATCCGCTCAGAAAGTGTGGCCGTGGCAGACAGATGCCCTGGGAGGGACACAAGCAGGGGACAAGCTTGGAGAGCCGACCTAGGATTATTTTGGCACCGAGGGCTCACGGAAGCTCGAACATCCCTTCCCAAGGGCTGCCGCTCCGGCGGTGGAGCCAGCGGCACCTTTCTGCCGTGCGTCTCAGCAAGCCGCTTAGGGGGCTCCAGGCACTTGGCTCCCAATCCTGCAAGCGCGTAAGCGGGTCACCGGGTTCCACACGAGCGCCGCGGCGGACACGAATCCCGAATCCCACAGCGTGCCCTGAGCTCCAGCAGGCCGCGGGGTTAAGCACCCTCCTTTGAGCCGCTGCTTTTACCAGCTTAAGGCAGCAAAGGGTGCGTTTAGGGCCAATTTTCCCCTTCTTAGCCCGAGGGCTTTGGGGTGAAGGCTAAAGAAAGACTCCTCTGTGTTCTCCAGGGAGTTGAGCTGGCAAAGAGACAAGAAAACAGTTCAGATCAAGTTGTCCGAACACATCGGGATACCCAGAGAGATCCTGATGTGGGGAAAGAAACCTAATAAGGCTCCAAGGCTCCATATTCCAATATATAACTACACGTATGTTATCATAAGCATCTATTTTTTTTTTAATGCGGTGTCTCTGCACTTTACTATAGTTTATTTCCAGCAATTAAAACAGTGCTAGTGCTGAGTAAAGGTCAAAATTATAAACTGCACCTCCTCTGCCTGCACTCCAGGGCTGGACATATTTTAGTGCACAAGTATAAACAAAAACAAGTTTAAGCGGTGGTTGAACTGCTTGAGGAATATCGAATGTAAGCCAAAAACAGCATTTTCGGCAGCTTCTGGACTCGAACGTGGGTGTTCTGAGGCTGTATTTAGATGCTGAGCACATCTGTTGTTCAAGTAGTCTCTGTCCCCCACCAACCAGCCTGTGGAAAGAGCACTGCAAAAACTGATGCTGCTGAAAGAAACAAGTTTTTGCCAGATTATTTTTCAGCCAGGCTGGTCTTTTGAGTCAGTTCAGTGCACAGCTACATGCCTAATGTGACAGACAGGACAAAGAGGCAGGAATGAAGAAAAGG